TGCAATACACCACTTTATGTATCCGATACAAAATTTGATTCTGGATGTGGTTGGCCAGCTTTCTTCGAATCAATCCCTGGTGCAATTAATCGTTCAGAAGATAATTCAAACGGAATGTCTAGAACTGAGATTACTTGTGCTGCATGTGATGGTCATTTAGGTCATGTTTTTAAGGTACTAAATTTATATCACATTAAATGACATCATTACTTTTTATTTTGAAGTTTCTTTTAAACATTTCTGCAATTTTACTAAAAATTTGAATCTTTAATAGGGCGAAGGATATAAACATACACCGGCTGACGAAAGACATTGCGTCAATAGCATTAGCCTTAAATTTAATGACGAGACAACCGAATAATATTATAAAATTTGCATTTATTCAATGCATTATTGTTACTTTTTAACAGATGATCTTTCTATTATTACTTAATAGATCACAATATTTGAGCTGATGATATCGAAATCTTGTAGTACCATCTTATGATGGAATTATTGACAAGTATAATTAATTATAAAATTTTTTGATCAAAGTAATAAAGATTGTTATTTATAAAGCTAATCAGATTAGACAATTTAAGTTTAAATGATAAAAATTTCGAAAATAAGGAATAAAAATGTATATATAATAATACAATTTAATAAATAATTATTTAATTTAACCAAAATACTAAATTAGTTTTTGGTTTATTAAATATATATACTGTATATAATTTTATTAATTTTTTACTTTAAAATATAATTAAAATTAAGAAATTTTTTTTATAAAATTTATAAAAAAAGTATTTAATCAAATTTGGTTTAAACTGGTGGCAGGATTTCCATTTTTTAAATTAATTTCACCTGATATGTGAACCTATCTTTAAGATATAAGTTTATATAGTTAAGTAAATAAGGTTGATATGTAAGCTATTATTAGAAATAGTCAATAGACAATATTAATTCAATATATGGGTAATTATTTTTGAAGATGACAAAAATGCTAGATATGATTTTTTCGGACCTACTTTTAAACAATACACATATAATAATCACAATTGTAGTACCAGAAAATTTCCAGTCCACTTTCAAAAATAATTATCCATATATAAAAAACATAAAAATGGGTAACTAATTGTATATAACTCCATATATAGAAAATATTTGATATCTATTTAGATATTATATATTAATAAAAATATATATCAATATATATTTACCTTAAAAAAAAAAAGTATTTAATCAAATTTTTTAGAATACAAAAAATATAAATTAAATTATAAAAAATTTTTTTTATTATAATTTTTTTTTATTAATAAAATATTAGATCTATAGATTTATAAATCTATAGTACAATTAAAAACTTATTATCTTTATAATTAGTTAATAAATTTTCAATATATATCATATTTAATTAATTAAATTTATATTTAAAAAACAAAAAAATTATATTATATAAATCTGAAATTTTTGATTTTTTAATAATTATAAGGTTAAAAAATTATATTATAAAAAAATTATATATATAAAAACTTTGGTTTAATTTTAATGATATAATTTTAATAATTTTTATTAAATTAATTTAATAGACTTTAAAAAAATTTAAAAAGAGGAAACACTTTTTAACTTTTTTTTTTAAGTTGTTTATTTTATTATTATTTTTTTTTTATTTCCATTATTTTTCTTTTTTATATTTTTTATTTTGTTTTTTTTTTTCTTTCTTACTTTTCTATATATACTTTTTTTCTTTTTTTTCTTTCCTTGTCAAAGTTAAATTTTTTTTTTTCTTTAAAGTTTTTTCTCTCTATTTCTCTCTTTTTTTTTGAAATATTACTTTTTATTTTATTATTCCTTTGACTAATTAACTTTCTTTTCTTAGAAATTATATTAAAAAGTAATAATCTTTTTTAAAAGATATTTAATAAGTTTTTCTTTTTTAGATAATTTATTCTTCAAAAGATTAATATGATTATTACTATTAAATCTGATATTATTTATTTATTAATAGCAAACTAGATATATCTAAAACCTATTATATAATTATTATTATTTAAATTCTCAAGAAATTATATTCTATAGTATTTAAAATAAGATAATAATTATATCAATATTGATTTTTTACAAGTATTATACTGGTGATTGAAAAATTTAGTAAAATAATATATAATAATTAGGAATTTTAGTTATTTTTACAAATAAAACTAGTGTTAATAACAAAAGATTTTGCTTACTTCTCAAGAATATAGGTCTTATTTTTTATTTTTTTATTTTTATAAATAAATATATAACGATGCAAATCTTTATTAATACTTTAGTATACCAAAGTATATCAAGTATCTTTTACAATTGGAACAATTGCTTGTTTGTGTCGATTGTGTCTGATAACCAAAGGTGGATCCAATATATCAGATGGGTTTCTATAGGAGAGGAATACCTATCACTAGTTTAAACCACCTAATCTATAACTTATTTTTTGAGAGCTAATATCTATTTTGCAAAGATTTGATCATCAGATTTCTGGACATCCTGATACTTTTCGTTTGGACCTTTGGAGGGAATACTTGCTTCTTATTACCACCTGTAACTTTGGTAAATTCTTTCTGAAGGATCAACTTCTTTTAAGCAAGTGCTGGATTGGAATAGCTCCAAACTAAGAAATTCTTGAATGATCGAATTCAGCTTATTGGGTATAACATATACAGAAGAACCTATACAACCTATATATTAAGCAACTTTATAATGATCATTATATGCCAACTGGACAATTATTACACTATAACGTCTTAACTGAAAATTACAATTTCAATACCTTAAGAATATAGGTCTTATATACAAGACTAAATATCAATATTTATAAAAAAGTCCAATTAAATTTTATTTATTTAATATTTTCATTATATTTAAATAATATTGTAAATATAATAATTTTTTTTTGTGACTTGAAGACCAATCTGTATAAAGTAGCTACAATATTTTTATATAACAAGATATTAACAAATTGATATTATTATCTTTATAACCAATTTTACTTATTATATATCAAATTATATTTAAAAAACAAATATACTAATTCTAACTATAACTTGAAGATTAATTTGTTTAAAATAGTTGCAATGTTTTTATATATTTAAGTAATCAAACTATTTCTAAGTAATTAGATGTTATTCAAGATTTTAATATAAAATTTGAAATTCTGATTATTATTTTTTGGATAGTACTAAAAATATAGATAGGAGATCTTTAAGTTTTATATTTAAGCTTTTTTTAATAAAGAAAAATATATATTACTCTAATAAAATTGTAATCTTATTATTAAGTCTAAAATTATAATAAAAATCTAAAAAATATAATAATTATTTTTTTTTTTAAAAAATAAATAAATAAATAATAATCTAAAATAAATAAATAATAAATAAATATATTTCAATTTAATATTTTAAGATATATTTCATATTAATATTTTATAAAACTTAAATATATAAATTAAACAGAATAAAATTATTAATTATAAATAATAAAAACAATAAAAATTATTAAATTAAATAAATTTACAGAGGGTGCCCATATTATTGTGAACACTTTTATTTTTTAAATAATAAAAAATTTTATTAATAAATAAATTTTA